GATGCACGTAATGGAGGGAATCCAATGATGACCTTTGCATGACTACATACATGGGTGTTTCATACTGTTACACTTGATTCCCCCAAAATACAAGATTGTCTGGGAAAATAAACAAAGTATAGTTGTGTTTTTATGTCAATATAGCAAAGTGTCTGAGTGGATCAGTTGTCGTGTAATCCATAAATCCTCACCATCACTGATGGGGCAGGGCCTTTTGAGTTCATTCTGTCACCTGTGCTTCTTGGGTGAATAACTTATATTCTTGAGATGTAGGGCAGACAGAGACAAGAGAGGTGGTTTGATTTTAGTGGGAGGTCTGGATTCTCCCACATATGCAATATGCACAGCATATGTAATCCTTATGTAACCCGTGCCAAAGCACTGCTGCTTTGTTTTGCGTTGTATTTTTAGCAGTGTGACAGCATGGCAGGGATGAGTATCATTCTCTGCTCAGTCATGTGCCTCTGAGGTCGGTCTCACAGCCAGGCGACACTGCAGAGCTCTCCGGTCCTTCCCATTCATGGGACTGCAATACATTAGGTCTGTTTTTGTTTTGTTACAGTTTTCCACCAATTGAGTAGTTAACTTTGTGGGTTCCATGAAACAATACCCTCCAAAACCGTCTGTTTTATATCAGTTTAGTCTCATGAAAAATCCCTCTGGGTCGTAAAAGCTGCAGTCATTGCAAGAAATTAGATATCCAATGTACTGGATGAGTCCCTGTGTAATTCCACCCTTCCTCTCATTATACATTCCATATGATGTTTTAGTTTTCATATTTCTTTTTTGAATGAAGACAATTTTGATTGGCGTAGGTTTATGTGGATGTCCTGCTCTTTACAAAACCACACACGTTGACCACGTTATGGCTTTCATTTTCCCTGTGAAACACAAGAATGTGACCCCAGGACCTTGTGCTTGCACACATAAAGAACTTCATCAATGTCTCACCTCTTCTTCACACTGCCCGTCAGCCTGCTTTTCCAAACACATGCTCACATGCAGGCTTTTAATAGCAGATTATGAGCACATTTAAAGGTGCAATAGGAATGTGTCTGTTTGTCCCCACACATATTATTTTCTATTTAACTTGTGTTGTGGTTTTCCTAATGATGTAGCTACTCTAGAAATCCCCCGAAAACTCAGAAATGTTGCTGAGAATTTGAATTATTATAGAAAAACAATCTGTATTTTGGATCGGTATGATCATTTTCTAAAGTACAGCTGTTTCCATATTCACGAGGGCAGCAATTGACTTGTTTTCATTCTGAAACTAGAATTGGGATCTTCCATACCTGCGCAAACCCATCGGAGCATTCTCATGCTGCTCCGGTGGTCCCATTCCCCGAGATGGGAAGTTCATCCAATTTTGGAACATAAAATTAAGATGTGTTGTAAGACTTTGTTGACAATAAAAAGCAAAAAGGAAAGGATCAGGTGAGTCATACAATGTGCAAGGGGACGTTCTCATGAAATGTGCAAGTAGGAACACATTCTTATGTTTCTGAGAGTGAAGTGTATATAATATATCAAATCCTTATCAGAAAAACTAAACAAATTCCTCCATGTTTCTTGAAAATTAGGGAATTTGTTTTCCTGTAATCCTGCCAAGGACCCTCTTTTTTATTCTGTGTATTTTGTATTACTTTCAATGTTTGAATAAATATTTCTAAAAGAGCGGTCAGCACGTGTTCCACATCCTGTCCTTGGGGTGTAACACCAAAGGCTTGTAATGAGTGGCCCAGGAACATTTATGAGTCCGCTCTGTGTGTTGGACAGGAAGTTAAATGCGGTCTTTGACTCAGGAGGCTGTGCAGATGTGCAGGTCAACACGGTCAAATTTAGTTTAACAAATGATTCTCGAACTGATAACCACAAGAGGGCTGCCAGTATAAAGACAGATTTGCGATATAGGCTTAGGCCTGGGGCGAGAGGTATGAGGTAGAGAAGGACCAGAGGCCTACATCCAGCTCTCTAACCTCACATCTTATCAGGGCTGACCAGACATCACTTGGCTCAGAAAATGAGCTCACTGTGATTGTCGTTTCTCCCACTGACAAATTGATGAGCTGACATGCACTTGCAATCCGAGCACAAGAGCCAGACACAGTTTTTTCTCACCATCTGTGAAAACCAAAGAAAGAAACTCAAATCACTCTTTGTTTGGAAAAAGCTTAGCTCATTGACCCCTGGAAGATCATTTAATTAAAGCAATAAACACCCAGCTTTTGCTAAATTCATGTAAACAAACCATTCTTTCCACCAGATGTCCTAAACTATTGGAATAGAAGAAAAAATACAGAAACAAATTAGATTAAGCTCCATCTGCTGTAGAGCGAATGACAGGAGTTTGTTGATTTTATATCAAATACAAAGTATGGCTGTATTTTAAATATGTGTGTGGCTTGACAGTCAATGCAGCAACATCTGTCGCAAAGGCACTTTTCCTTCAAATGTTTTCAACACTGCAGCTGATTTAGACGTAGTGTAGGAGATACTTTCTCATTTGTAGAGGTCAAGATGGTCTCATATCTTTCACTTTGATCTGTCTTGACTTACACTAGTCTCGACAATGGTGACTGAGTCGAATAAAAGAAGGTGCCAACAGTGGCTATTGATCTTGCTAGCATCACTCGGACTAGAGGTAGCAGCTTTTTCCTCTTTTCCCCTGAGCCCATGCTTTTAATCTAGCTAACACGCCCTGCTTATTACGAATCTCTCCCCACACCCTCTTACTGCATACGGTTGGAATCACAGACCTTGCACGGTTTGATTTTTCATAAAATTGAAATCTGCTTGCAATTAAACGACTGTCCAAGTGAGAAATTATCACTGATTGTGTCACCAACTTGGTTTGAAAAAAACGAATTTGCCATCTGTGCAAAATTCTGTTTAACATAAAAACTGTTTATGGTCAAAGCGTCCAGTTTCCTACATCCTTCTGCGTTATTTGCTGTGCAGGTTTGCTGGTTTGTCATGAACCCGATGTGCTCTTGTGTTTTTGCAGGAGAATAGTGAGAGTGCTGGCGGGGCTGAAGTTTCATTTAACACACAGAGACACACTCCTGTCCCGAAGGCTTCAGTGTCAAGAGGTTTAGTGATGAATCTGGCCACTGAGACTGACTAAGACTTTACACCACAACACCCTGAGGCTGCCAAAGAAACACACACACACACACACACACACACACACACACACACTCAGAGAGAGTCACTCACACAGACAACATCAACGCATCAATGCAATTTTCTTGAATTAATGAATAGTACCTTGTTCTTTTTCTTTATATTCTCTTTATTGTGTTTGCATTAGTGTCTTAGGTTAAAAAAAAACTACAAAACTCACAGACTTGTTATGGTCCTCACCACTTTTGTAGGCCTTTTTAAGCTCAACTGCTTTCAGAAGAATATGACATCATTCCTCTAAAGCCACATACACTAGAGGTTAGGGTTCATGACGATATTTCTTCTAAACGTAATAATAACGGGGTAAAAAATTTGCAAAGGAGGAACATTTGATATTTCATCCTGCTCTTCTTTGAGTTGTCACTATTGAATGATTGTGGGTCACAGTAAGTGATCTTTGGGCCTGATTTCTTCTTCAATTTTGTAATCTGGTAAAGAAAAATGTAGCATTTCTTTAATCAGTTCGGGACCGAAGACACTACCGGTGAAGAATCCTGGTATTCATTTAATCCATTTGTGTAAATTACATTATAGTGGTATTACATTATAGCTGGATTAAAGGTAGCCATGTAGTGATTAAAATAAATATTTAATGCATATTCCTTTTATCTTTTTTAAACTAAAATCTAATTGTCTCACAAAACAACCAAATCCTTCCTTTTAATTAAACAGACAGAGCCTTTTCTGCCCTTTATAGATATCCCATAGCTTCTCCTCACACCATTTATTTTCTTCTCAGTTGTGTCTTCGACCCTTCATATTTCCAATAGTTTTGTCTGCGACTCTGACCTCAATGATCATTTCAAGGAAACTCTGTTTCCTTGAAATGGCACTCACTGTGATCATGACACGGCAAACAAACAATCCGTGGTCGGTTGCAGCGCTGGATCAAAGTACCACTGAACCTTTCCACTGGATCCACATGTGCTGGTCAGAGGGTGGTGCAGGTGCTTGTTAACTGTCAGAAATGCACTCCAATGAAACTATCACACCTGTGTAGCTCAAGTCGGTGTTGATTTTCAGGAGTTTTTCTGTTATAAAGTATACAATCATAACTGTGGTACATTTTGCGATGATGTCCTGGCAGAATACCATATTTTCTCAATGAAAACCCATGATTTCCTACATAAATAGGAAACCTTGCTAACTTCTTTACCCGCCCATGTCTCTGTACCGTCCAGCCTGTGCTTCTCAGAAAGTGTAGCTGTTGTCATGCAGTCAGGAGTCAGGACATGCCCTTCCAAGGACAGATTAAGGAAACTACTATTTGGCTTTCATCACCCCGCTTAATACGCTCCCTGATATCACAACGTTTTCTAATCAACAGGTTTTTATGTGGCACCGACCTGTAATGGAAGCAGAATGTCAAATGTGAAGAAACACCTTACCGATCCCTTTTTTTAAATGCACACTCAGGTCTGTGTAGCCAAACAGGCTATATACGTTTTGAATTAGAGAAAACCCAAGCAACAACAAATGTCCTTTCCTGTTAACTGCCACATGTTTTGTCCAATTGTCCTTGAATCAGGAGGACGCTGAACCTTTAGCTGGTTTACTAAAGTCAGTCTGGTCAAAGGTTGCCAGCTATCTGCCTGGACTGAAAATGGCTTCCTATTGTAGCCCCTCTTCACATTGTACACTCTTTTTTTTATTGTCCTCTACTGGCCTCTCCCTTAGCACGATTTATGACTGTCAGATTTTATTTTTATTGCCATAGCAAGGACGCAAGAACTGTCCGTACCTGCTACCACAACGAAAATCAATCTCTCCCCTCCCCTCTCCCTCTCTTTCTCTTCCCCTCTGTATCCGTGCAGGCAGCCGGCGGTAATGGGAAATGATGGAAGACAAAGGCCCTCGTGTAGCCGACTACTTTGTGGTTGCCGGTCTGACAGACCCGTCCAAGCCGTTGGACCAGGAGATCCACTTTGATGACGTGTGCCACAAGTCGGCCAAGCCTAAGGCGCCCATCACTGATGTCGCCGTGGTGATCCGCTCCATGGGCGAGGAGACGCCGCCTGGGTTCACCTGCGTAGAGGAGACCCCAACAGGCCATTCAGCTGATCTGAACAATGGCGGCCTCATGGTGCCCCAGATCTTCCTCTGCTACCGGAGAGGTCGCGACAAGCCACCCCTGACTGACCTGGGGTAAGTACCAAAAGGGGCTACACCGTCATGCTAGTAGCTCTGTGAGGCTGAACCTGCTGTAGACGCCAATACAATGACGATGCTAACATTTTGATTATTAGAAGGGTACAATTTCACCATTCTCAGTCGTCTTAGTGAACCATGTTACACTTTTGTTAATTGAGCACAAATTACAGTGGAGAATGATTTAGAATGTAATCCTTTTTTGCTATGACATTTGGAAAACCATAGTCTAATCATCAAATATAAAGGAATTAAAAAAGCTATTTTAATTCAGGTACCACCAAAGTTCAAACAATTAATCACGAGGAAGGTATAAATGTCTGAAACGAATTCAAGAAGATTTATCGAATCGATTTTACTCAAGACCACAAATGTTAACCCCATGGAGACGCTAGGGATCACCAAGTAGGCTCATCAATGCCCGTACAAAATGTCACTGCAATGCCCCCAATCATTGTGAGATTTCATTCTGGATCTCAGCTGTGGGGCCAGTATCTCATCAGCCCCTGTCCTGCTCAGTTAAAGGTCCCTCATTTGCTCAATCTAATGCTTTGCAGCCAAATTGAAGAGAATTAATGATCAACGACCAACCGTCAATAGGTGAATGACCGCAATTGGCTGCAGTGCGCTTTTCAGTCTGAACACAGTCATGTTGAGTGAGATTCAGTGTGAATGAGTTGTTCAGAGGAAAATCAATTGTGTCAAATCCACTGTGGACAGGCAGCTATGTTGGCATTGCTTCCACAGTACAGTATATTGAAGAATCCATTGGTTCTTATAATAACAAATGCAGCTTTGTCATCACAGGGTCAGGGTGTTTAGCTTTTGAAGATGGTACATATAATAAGGGTGCTTCTAGAATATGGCAGAATAGTTTTTACGTTTTGGGGCACACATTTTATAATGCTTCTTGATGTTGTAGTACCTGCTTCTGCTTAATCTGCCCTAGAATATATTATCGAAACAGTAATGGAAACTGATTCACATTTTTATTTCGCTGACATTTCCGAAATTGGCTATAAACTTAAAATGTGTCTACTAAGTTTTTCAAGGCAACTCAAATGAGTCACTGTAATTAAGTGCACAGAGCCTGAGAGCTTACTAACACACAGACAAGGACTCACACACACACACACACACACACACACACACACACACACACACACACACACACACACACACACACACACACACACAGACGGACATTCTGTGTATGTATTGCAACATACTGTGTCAATGTCTGTCTCATTCCTAGTAATGATCAGCTGCTGCTCTCAGCAAACACTGTAGTTGCTGTCGTGTTTAAAGGTTGTCCATATCATGCCGATTCTAAAAGTAAAGTGTTCTGCTCTGCCTAAAAATCCCTCCTGTGCAGCAGTTTCTACAGCGTTTACTTTCTGTCTGCCTTGCAGCCGTTCCCCATTGTGATTTTGCAACAAAAAAGTGAAATACGGTGAAGTGCTGTCACAGGTGTCCTCCTCAGCAACATCCTTAGAACCGGGGGATTCAGTACCGTTAGTTGAGTCTCACAGCTCTGGCGGGCCGCAGGCAGGTGGTGACAATGCTAAGGAGGCTCATATTGGTCTCTGACACTACGAGTGCAGTGCTTATCAGGCACTGACTCAGTCTCTGCTCAGACACTATCAGCAGCTTCTGTGTGCTGATAGTGTAAAGGGGCTGCACTTCTCAGACACTGGCACAATTAATGGGAAGCTGAGTTGTGTGTTAGCACGTGTCATCATTTATGTGCATTTTTACAATTGTGATAGGGAGTTGGTGCTCAGGATGCAGATGGAATAATTAGTCATATATGTGAGCAGTTGCGTAAAAGCATGCAGATAAGTACAGCTCTACATTTAGGAACATATTCACATTTTTTCCACCGTTGAACTAATCAATTTAACACTTGGTAGGTGTGTTGTGGCGCAGTGGTTTGTGCGTATGTGTTCGGATCAGGGGGACACAGGTTCAAACCCCAATGTAGTCAGCATGTCGTCAGCATGGCGAGACACTTCACCCCAAATTGCTCCTGTGGGGATCGCCCACAGTATTGAGTATGTTAGTCGCTTTGGATAAAAGCATCTAACAAGTGACATGTAATGTAATGTAATGTTGCTCAGTACCTAAGGAAGCGCAGTGTCAATGGTGAAGTTGTTTGGATAAGCGGTTCTCGAAAAAGGCTGCAAGCAGCCATACCAGAAACCGAGCAATGGGCCGGTTTGAAGAGAGACTCTAGTCCACTTACCCACAATTGTAGGAGATGTGATGATCCACCCAAACATCAGCACATCCTGTGATTGCTTTAGTAAGTAGCTGACAACAATAGCATATGGTGTTTTCCATGTGAAATACCATCTCTGCTTCTTTTATTGGCAGGTTATTGTTCATTTCTAAGGGCGTAAATCAATTTTTCTAAATGTTATAAATCAAATGAATTACAAAATAGGAAAATAATTACGGTACTCAAAAATTGCATTGATCATTTTCTCTTGGAAACGACTGTAATTAAACATATTTCAACACAAATCACTATATTATCATGGCACGTGACAAAAGCTTTATTTTAAATAAATACTTTTTAATTTTAACAATAATTGTACCTCTATTTTTCACTAAACATAAGCCTATCACTTTCCCTATAGTGTGGCCTTCATATGTATAAGAACACAATAAATCATTTTCACACCACTCTTTTTATGAGGCCTTCAAGGTCCAAAGACTGGTTTAAAATCATGCAGAATTGGTGCCACTGTCAATGGAGAAAATATGTGTGTTGCATTGGTCTGACGATGGGCTCTGCATCGACAACAGGTCTAATATAACAGTGGAGAAAGAAGTGCTCACTGTGCTTGGCCTTAATGCGAGCAGAGCAGAAACACCACAGCAATGAGTACTGAAATAAAAGCAGACCAAATAAAACAATCTGCAGTAGGCCACTCTGAATTCTGTTTTCCCTTCAGCTTAGGCCCCACAAAAGCCTGGCTAGTTCCACTTGAAACCGTAATGGAGGATAAGTGCTCAATAAAAACCCAAAGAGGGATGCTTAAAGTGACTGCTACTGTAACACGCTGGAGTTGTTGTGCACTAAGTGGTGGTTTGTGTGCGTCTTCTAGTGCCTCATCACAATACTGTATTGACTGTGTCCTGTACACAAATCTACATTCATATACTGCATGAGTTATGTCAGAGACAACAAATCCCAATTCTGACCTTAACTTAAAAATGTAATGAAATTATCATTAAAAAAATATTATAGGCGATAAACTAAACTAAATTTGCTCCACTTTGAAGCATGGTGAAGATATAAGAAGGACAGCATAAAAAAAGTAAGCACTCACCCAACTGAATTTCCATAACTTGCTTTCCACAGCTAAGCCCATATACAAAAGAAAAACAACTCTTTCAGTTCCTCTCTTGGCTGCAGTAGTTTGTGAGGTTGACAGTTACTTTGACCTGATTGTTTCACCCAGACCGTCATTCTTTTACAGGGGTAGACATTAAGGGTAAGGGCCAGTGGAATCTTTTTGTCACTGGCCATTGTAACCACTGGCCCGGAGCATTCGTCCAGAAAATCCACTAATAATGAAGAAAATGAACACATTTGTTGCAATAGTAATGTATGCAAAAACTATATTACCACAACATTTTAATCATCAGATCTTCCTCATTTTCGTCAATTGTTCATATTTGGTTTATTAAAATAATTATATTCGGGTCATTGTTAAAAAATGTCTTCTTTTATCATTATTATGAGTATTATTATTTGTATAATGTGCTTTCTGTCATGAGGAGTTAGAAATGTAATGGCTATGTAATAGAAACTTCATTATCCTAAACTGCTGTGACATTTCCCTATAGCCAATACCTTTGTATTTTCTACTCTTCACTTGTCAGCATAGGTCGGCATTGATGTACAGAGCCGACAGAAGACCTTGTTTATATTGGCATCATATTGAAGCCAACTCCATCGATCAAGCCAGCGTGGCTGAAACTTTCTCTCCCTCTTCTTCTCATGCTCCCTGTCACTCTCCTTTAACTCCTCCGGTGACATGCTTTTATTTGAAGATTGTTTTTGGCCCAGCGCTTGGCCGGTTACCGCTGGTATTAAAAACATTTTGGCGAATGGTTAGGTGGCGCGATAGTCTGTAGTGAAGGAGTGCGCTCCCGCTCACGGGAGCCTGCTCGCGCTCACGGGAGCCTGCTCGCGCTCACGGGAGCCTGCTCGCGCTCACGGGAGCCTGCTCGCGCTCACGGGAGCCTGCTCGCGCTCCGCAGCAAACAGCTGTTTGCTTTTCACCCAACAACGACAACCGCCTCACGAAACGCTATGTTGTAGCGTTAATAAACGAGACAATTTAACAAAATTGCAAGTCAAAATACCACAGGACAATTTTTTTGTTTTAAAGCAATATTTTTAGTGGAGCTGGCAGTGGAAAGTTATGCTGGCCTGGGGATTTAAATAATGCTTCTGGACCAGCGGGCCATTAATAATGTCGAGCCCTGTTTTACCAGCTGATTTTATAATAACGAGTTACAGAGTCACAAAAATGCCTCCTTTTTAAAAGACTGACTGTAAAAGCCGAATGCGCAGTTCATATTTCTTGTCATTTTCCCTTCAGTGCACTCATCTGTCAAAAACTTGCTTTCAGCTCTCATGTTGTTGTGTTATTGATTTCACAAGTGGCCCTGGGCTTGAAGTTGAGGAGACATCTTTGCACTGAGCTTTCCACTTTATAAACCCATCGATCGCTCTCTGTTTTTTCATGAATTGCATCAATTCTGCTTTGCCGTTTATGAGATGCAAAGCAGACATTAAGCTTAATCAACTCCTTCCTGTCAGCCACTGAAAACTGGGATAAACGCCCAACGTCGAACTTAAACTGGAAGCTGCGCCTAATTGGCTCAATGAGCTCACGACTGCATAATGTGCTGATTAACTCTCCATGGTAATCAAACTAATAAAGACTCAGTGATGTGGAGTTTTGTTGGCTCACTGCCGTGCTGCCCCCCCCCTTCAGCGTGCTGTACGAGTGGAAGGAGCGCCTGAAGCCGGGCTGCCAGCTGATCCAGACCACGCCCTCAGGTCGCCCCGCCAACATCAGCGGAAACTCCTCCCAGCGCATCTACGTCACCTACCGCCGGGCCCCTGAGAGCCAGCCACACAGCGCGCTGGCCCTCACCGACATCTGCATCATTGTCCCGAGCAAGGGGGAGACGCCCCCCCACACCTTCTGCAAGGTGGAGAAGAACCTCAACAGCAGCATGGTGAGAAGCACAACTGTTACAACAACACTTTTTAGTTTTTATTTGGAGAGGTGTCCATTTTTAGTGTCTGAAATGAAGTAAGGATACAGAAACATAAAATATAGTTATACGTAGTGTGTGTGGTTTGCATACATAATCTTAATTTGACTGGATTGGAGTCTCCCTTAGTTCTGTAGTGTGAAAGCTATAGAGCGCCAGTTTACTTAGAAGCTCAACCAACATGTAAGAAGTACAAGATGACATGGAGACTTTTTGCAATAACCATGAGTAAGCCAGACAAATAGTGGCAGATTCAGCTCTATACCATGGCGATTTAAAATGGTGGGGTCATGTTGGCAAGTCGCAGTGCTTATCTGAGTCTTTTGTCATGAAACATATTGAGCTGTTGTGAAGGTAAGAGAAATGAGAAATAGGCTGCATCTCACCTGTTGCTTCTTTTTTCAATTAACTGTGGTTTTCAGTGGTTTGGTAAGAGAATTCAGCCCCTAGGTTACTCACTTAAAAACTGGCTTGTGCGTTCAAGCATGGAAAATTGTGTAAAACCATCCTACATTGCCTCGGGTAGTTTTCTTATTCTGTGTGTTTATACTGCTGCAGTCTCCTTTTTGTTGTTGAGGGAAGTCCCTGAAGTCTTCTCTTGTGTTCAGTTAAATCATCACCTAGGGCTGCACGATTTGGGTAAATAATCTAATTGCGATTTTTCTGACAGATATTGCGATTCGATTTGCGATATTATTTTTTAAGCGACCCAACAGAAGTTTATTGTAAAATGCGGCCATATCTCCAGCTAGGAAGGTCGTATCAATGTGCTCCCGTCTCTAGCACCCCCGCAGCCCGAGCTACGACTGAAAGAAGTAAACTTACATGAGACTTCCGTTGGGTTGCTTTAAGGTCAAGCTTCAGTTTAAGATTCACCCTGTAATAGATAACATGTGATGGAGCATCACTAACCTGACTCAGATGGTTTGTTTCACCAGACCATCTAGGAACGCTCCATTGGAAGCCATTTGGAAAAGTATTTCAAAAATACTTGATTGGATCAATCTGTCTATCACCTTCTATCATGGGCCACTTCTGATTGGTTAACAATGGCTGGTACATGTGGTGCACAGCACTTCTGATTGGTGTGGATGAGTGACACACAAGAGGAAAAAAAAAGTCGCAGGCTTTGTGATTTGATTATCGCATCATTTCAAATCGCGATTTCGGTTTAAAATCGATTAATCGTTCAGCCCTATCATCACCCACAATTTACTCTCAGACAAATATATCTTGGTATTTATAAAATTGTTGCAGTGACAGCTTTGTCTACATTTGGTATTTTACAACGTCCTTTGAAAAATGATATGCGTTTCTGTTGCTTTACATGTGTCTGAAAACCACTGCATGCAGCTAGTCAGTGTGCCAGAGAATGCTTAGTATACAGAGACGTGTGCTGCATGCAGGAGAAGTCAAGGATCCTACAATAAAAACGGTATTTAGCTTCACATTTTTCATTCTGACTAATGTTGGAGCTTTGAAGATCATTTTAATATTTCAGCACAGTCCTCAGTGCTTGCTTCATGTCCTGCCCCGGGTTGTGAAAGATTTATGGCAAGTTTGGGTTGCCGTAGAGCATCTTCCCCTCGCAGTGAATAATTGTTACAAACAAGATGTTTATCAGATGTCTCATCACTTCTCTCTACATGCTAATAGCTCAATGAGTGAAGCCTGTGAGTTTAGTTGGGCTTCTGGTTTCAATGTTTAAGCTGCCGGCGGGGTAATAAAAGTATTTTACAGTTTATAGATAATTACACTGACTGGCTTTATGGGGTGTTTAATTGGATTATAAATGATAATAGACAGCTTTCGTGGACTAAGGGCTTTACTATTAACCTCTATTTTGCACACTGTCCTTCCCACACACACATAGTATGCCCAGTTCAGAGGAACGGTTGCGAAAAGACCAAACCGCTTAGAAATGCTGCAGCGAAACACTTCAGCGGTGTGATTTTAAAAGCATCTCCTGCTTCTCAAGTTGCCACAGGCTGCTTTTAAAACGTAAGGCACATCACGGTTTAAACTGCCAATCATTTAGTAGCTAGTGAAGTCAGTTAATAAACTTTAAAACACTTTAGAAGGAGAAAGGACACGATCAGTTCATGAAATGGTGTTGTGATAATTAGTGATTTCTCTTATTAGAGATGACACCAACTCTTTGACGTAACAAACATACGTTTTCTTTAAGATGCGCAAGGCTCAAGATTTCATGAATCTGCTGCTTAAACATTATATTTTGAATACATTTAGTTTTCGAAACCCTGGTAAGGGACAATAAGCAAACATGCACTTTGTGAAATTAATGTTTGTTTGTTTTTATGCTCATGTTGACTTTGATGGATAATACTGTGTTTGCATCGGGTTTCAATTCTCTAACTATTTTTAGAAAGTAGAAAATCAGTCTTAACTCACTTCTTGTTAGTTGTAAAAAGTTAGTTGTGGAAATTGCACGATTTACCACATGTTTTGCATTTTAAAGCGGCTTTACATACAAATCAACCTAAATGATCCTTTCAAAACATCCAACTGACATTGTTGTGTGTAGTTTCATCATATCAAGATTAATTCAATTTTTGTATCAGAGAAACTAGACAATGGCTTCAAATTTGATTCAACTTGGCACTATTATTATCCTCTTGTTACTGAATGGCCCTAAAGTGGTGTGTGTCCTTCATCACAAACACCACGCTAACTGTTTCTGTTGCTCTCTTGTTTTCAGTGGGGCTCCTCTGTCTACCTGTGTTATAAGAAGTCTGTGGCCAAAACCAACACAATAGCCTACAAAGCAGGTAAGCCCTCCTAATCCTATAACTACCACTGCACGCAGATCCAAATACCAATATACAATACAAAATATCAGATAACCATGTTGTGTGCAAAAAACGTAATCTTCCTTTAGTCCCACTTATTCTGCCTGTATGACCATTGGATAGTCGTACATGTGTTTTTTGTTGGATTAGAAGAAATGTGGACAAGTTGTTCTAAAAAATAAGCTGATTTTGAAACAATAACTATTTATTGCATTGACACTTATGAACTATATTTGTTGCAGCTGTTGTACAAACGTCTCTAAAGTCTTCTACAGAGTGAACTGGCTGCATGAGGACATTCTGATTCAGCTGGGCTCGCAAGTTTGGGCTTGTTGAAGCATGTTAATGCCTCTGCACACCAATATTCTTCTCATATAATTAAGTTCAAGGTGTGCCCTAAATGTAATGGTATTATGAGGCTTATTTCACATTAAATCCATTTGACTTTTCAATGCCAAACACAGCTGACAGAAGATTGTCAGTGTGTGATAACACTGTTGGCTCTGTGTGACTGTGTTTGGCTCGGGCTCAGATTGGCTGGCTGAGGTTTTGTTGTACATATCTTGAAAAATGCAACAGACTGTGAACAGAGCGATCCTATCTGTTTCTCACTTTGCATGAGTCAGCTCACACAAATTACGTTTATTTTCCACACTTGAGGCCAGGAAGAATTATGCAGGCATCAAGGTTTTGCGTAAACAAAATAATGTTGCAACAGTTTGAGCCAGAACTGAGCAAAATAAATGTTGGTTGGTTGGGGGATACGTGGAAATATTGTAAAGTTTGCACATTCCTATCCATCCCCACCCGCACCAATCACCGGACTTGGGGGGACAGAGCCTTCTCCGTCGCTGCCCCCTCCCTCTGGAACTCACTCCCACAACCCATCAGAGACTGCACCGACCTCACCACCTTCAAAAAACTCACAAAAACTCACCTCTTCAATCTGGCTTTTAATGTGTGATTGTTTTTGTATTATTTGACTTTAACTTTAGACTGCCAAGGCACACAGGGGTTGTTCCTTTCTTCTCTTTTCTTTTCTCTTCACTATTATCTGTAAAGCGTCTTTGAGCACCTGTAAAAGCGCTAACAAATTAAATCTATCTATTATTATTATTTAACCTTAGAGTAATGCCTACACCAGAGTATTTCCCTTTTCAAACTCAACACTTTAAAGTGTCTTTAATTATTTAACCGATACTTTTCCAAATCCACATGAGCCGCTCTTCACATTGGCATATATTAGATTCACCACACAGAACTTATTAAAAAAGGAGATATGTAACTTTTAAAGCTGGTTAGCCTGTTCTTCTTATTTATTTTCTCCAAAACAGTGGTAAAAACCCCAGGAGCCAATGAAAGGAGTTGCATTTTCATCAAAACAACATTATGATTGTTGTGTTAACTGCACATACGAGGCCACATTGCCTCCTTTGAACACTCACAAGCCATGTCCCCTTTTGAAAGGGGCCATGCATTGCTTATTTCAGATAAAAGGCACCAGGCCTTTGTTTTAACCACATAATATATTCTCTGTACTAGCTCAAAAGAACAACGACACAAGTGTCTGCTGCTGTTGATTACTGTATTGTTAAGCCAGGTCAAAAAATTACTTAGTAAAACATTTTGCACTGTTTTTTGTCACATGTGTTGTGCTTGTACAACTCTCCTTTTGTCAAAAATGTTCAATAATTAGCATGTAACTGGTAATGTTACTGCTCGGGGGTCGCTTATCACTAAACAAAATGACACTACAGTAGACAAAGGTAATGACCCGAGTCTCTGCATTAGCTTTTCCAAACTGTAATCTGATGAATATTGTACAAAGCATCATAGTTTTAGTTGCTGACTCAGCAATTGGTGTCTATTTGTTCCCTCAGTGGGGCTATTAATGTAGCTGTGCACTTGCTGGTGTTTTCATGATGAATATTTGTGGCTACACTCTTAGTGAAGTGTTTAAAAATAAAGCCTAACAGTCTATCCTTACAACTTAAAGTGTGAATGTGTGCTTTAAAATGTGCACTAACAATCTTTCAACATTTATGAAATGAACTTTCTTATTAAATATGGTAGAGAACGGTTTGAATGTACGCAGTAAAACAAACTGTTTTTCTAATGTTTGTGTTTGTTAATGATGCTTGTAGAATCAATGAGCCAAAGTTAGACAAAGCACAGAGTTAAGAAAGTTCATAAATAAAATCTCTTCTTCATTGTTTCTCACTTGTGTCTGCTGACAGTGACTAATGACCCAAAGGCCTGATAACCGAGCAGTAATTGCTTGTTAGAAAGCCAGGAGTTTCTATTGAAACTCTGACTCAATAAAGTACATTATCAATGTGATTATGATGGATGGAACTTGTTTTGTTTCTTTTTAAACTCTGTGGAAATTCAGCCGGCATCTAAATCAGCTCCTAATGGTGATCACAGGGGGAAGGTGCACTTTGCTGCTCTCTTAATTGAGTTCTCTGTTATTTTCCTTTCCCAGGTTTATTCAGCAGATATCCAGAGGAGGACTATGAGTCATTCCCTCTGCCAGAGTCTGTCCCTCTCTTCTGCCTTCCCATGGGGGCCACGATTGAGTGCTGGCCAGCAAACACCAAATACTCCCTCCCCGTGTTCTCCACCTTTGTCCTCACCGGATCCTCTGGAGAGAAGGTAAAGTAGATAAATGGATAAATACACACTTTTGTTCTACTTTCTTTCTCAGCCTGAAGAATACCAAGTATCTCAGTGGCATTGTCGGACAATAAAGGCTGCGAGTGACTGCCAGTGCCAGTTAGGCCACATCAACAGAATTTAACTGCCATCTATACAGCTGGCATAACCACAGACCAACGCTCTACAGTGTGGCATGACAAAACCAAAATACACTGCATGCCCTAAGGGAAAGTGGGTCAGGCAGGCTTGTTGACTCTGTCAGGTGGAAAAACTTCTAGTGTTTATTTTTGTAGGATAAGCCCATTTGTTAAAAAGAAACTCACAAATAAAGTAGCACATGTATAAACACTAACACACTTTTTTTTTTTTTAAATACACCCAAGGCCAGAGACACTATGTTTTCACATTTACCTCCCATTCTCCTGGACTCAAGGACTGACTACAATTTCAGAAAAATATCTAAAAGGGTGATTATGCATCTGCACAGATAAATGTTTTTGTGAATATACGCAGGACAGGTGGTAAAGGGTTACGCACACATCTCAAAAATATCAACATGTGTAATGCCGGTCAGGTCCTTCAAAACGCGCTGATGGTTAACCCAGCACTCTATGGGGAAGTTTTCCAATGGGATTTCCTCAACAGGTTGGCTGGCCGGCTGTTGTGATTGGTCAACTGCTTTGATATGGTCCCGCCCCTTAGCCTATCACGTACAATTTGAAGCCAATAGAGCTGTAAGTGTTACATTGTAGTGTCACTATTTCGCTAAAGTAAACAAAGGAGTCCAATCGAGTTACTTTGGTTTGTTTGCGACGTTCTGAAAATTCATTATTTTCAGATTTCTTCTATGTTTTTGTCCCACTAACCTGTGCATCCATAGGAGCTGGGGACATTTTGTAAACTGACTCACACAGGCCGCCAGCTGATAAGCTATTTTGCCCACAGTTGGCAATCAGGGTATTGATGTTCAATAAAGGTTAAACAGAGGTGCACTGTGCTTACTTTATTTCTGAGCTCATCGATGTTTTCATCTGTTTAATACCTCATTCACACCAACGGTGTTTCAGGGCCGGTTCAGAGCTGGAGCTTGAAAAGCACCGGGTTTTCCTCTTCACACCGCAGCGGAGCAGCCTCTTAGCTCCGGAATCCGGTTTGTTTCGAGTACCAAAAAATTGTCCGGCCTAGAGCAAAAGCACCACATACGTCACGCTTACGTCGAGGCGGGGGCAGGGGCTATTGTATCAACTCCTGAACAACAACAAAAAGCCGGCGTTTTATCCAGTTTGTACACAACGATGGAGAAACTTAACAAGCAGCAGTGGTCCACTGAAGAGACCAGC